AGTTTTGTACTGTGGAAAATATTTCATTAGCAGCTGTAAGGTAAAGACTTACAGGGCAATAGTTTTATCACTCTTTTTAAAACTACCGTGTATATACTGGAATATATATGGTAACATTAGTTTTTTTTGGGAGGGGGCATTAATTTCAGGAGTTTTATTTACATTAAAATATTGCTCAATAATTTCTCTATTTTTTACATTAATTTCTTAATATCATTTTATATTCAAGTCGTGTTGAGGTTTTTCCAATTATTTCTGACTATTTTTTTAAACCGTTTGTTCAGATTTCTTTCCTCTACTCCCTACTTCTGTGATTATTTATGGGGAATCCAGGCCTTTTGTCTTATAAAGTTTTCCCTCCTAGAATTTGCTGATTGCCGTTCCTAGTGTTTTCCTGTGAAATAGATCTAGCAGCCAGCATCCCACTTTATTTTTGTAGCAACGCCCCCTTTTAGACCGTGTTCTCTGCTTATGTCACCAGGGAGTCTGGTTCTCTGTGCTGTCAGCGGCCACTGCCAGTGTTGGCCCCGGCGCAGACGCATGAGCAGTGGGAGAGCACCAGGGTCTTGATCCTGTCCATCCGTGTGCGCTCGCCGGCTTTCTTCTCTAAAGAGAAACGTAGTCTAAAGTTCTGTGAGGTTACCAAGAGGCACAACTTGGATAGGAAAGGCAGGCTAAATGGTTTGTTCTTACAACTTTACCATGGCTCAAAGGGAGCCTGTTCCCCAGCATCTGCCAGAGGTGCCCACCAGGTTTCTCTCTGTATCAGGAGTGAAAAACAGGCCTCCTGTCTGGTTGGTGGTGCGCGCTGTTCCAGTTGCTGCCTATGTCCTTCTGGTATGACCTTCGTAGTCTGATCATTACCTTGTAGTATCAAAAACTAGATGTTCCTGGCAAATACAAGTTATGTCCAGTCTCCTTACAGGAATTGACCAGCTTCTCTGGAGCCCTCCTCTGTCTTGGTGGGAAATGATACGTAGGGGCTGTGTTGTCATTGGCTCCGTGGATAACACAGGGTGACCGTTTCTTTCCTTCCAGGAGTCCATGAAGAATATCAGCTGCCATATTATGACTTAGTGCCCTCTGACCCTTCCATTGAGGAAATGCGAAAGGTTGTCTGTGACCAGAAGCTACGTCCCAACATCCCTAACTGGTGGCAAAGCTATGAGGTAGGACAGATGCTTCCCTTCCTCCTGAGGCAACTATGCCGCCTACCTGATTCCTCTGCCTAGGAAAGGGGTCTCCTGATCGGGTCACTGCCCCCCAGGGATTCAGGAGGCCTGTGCTATTCTGTCCTGGGCCTCTGGAGACTGCAGCCCCTTGCCCTGGGCACTGCGACATGCCCCTTTGGTGCTGACCACCGAGCGGAAGAGAAAGGCTCAGTCCTGGGACGCAGTTCTGGAGGTGGCCACCAGGAGACCGGAGCAAGACCAGACCAGGGAGCTGTTGGCCCTGTCTGTCTGTCTGCAGGACCCTGAAGGAGAGACGTCCATAAAAGAAGCTCTTGGGGCTCAGAAGGCTGAGTGGGCAGGACTTAGCCAGACTTGACCATGTCAGCCAGCCGGCCG